GTTAATTTACTGAAACAGTCTTCGAGGCGAATTCGAAGCATCCTTTAGTAAGCAAAGCTCAAGACGGTGGGACAAATGGGAACCTAATTTGCTTTCGCTCTGCAGTGTCATCTGAACGTGAAAATCAACCGTCGATAAAATTCTGCGGGGTTCCTCCAAGTTAACTTTCTCATCAGTAGATAATAGATGAAACCCACTGTCTATCAGGGTCACCGTACAAAACTAGGTCGGAAACCAGAGTTCTCATCATTAACTGATGGTTTTCAGACGAAAACTAGAGCAGGCTTGGAAGATACCACCTTCACGTGTATTAGACTCTGTGCACAACGAAGTTGTTTTGGGTGACGAAATCAACCTCTTGTGTACATTAGGTTGCATAGTCCGATTGTCGGCCCAGCATTCTTTGTGCGACGGGCTCACTATGTAGTGAACTACACGAACTGTAACAAGTCTTCCTCCGAAGTCAGAGGATTGGAATCCGAGCTTTGAGGCACCCACCTTAATATGAAGCAGGAGCCGGTTCTCTGTGAAGTTAGAGCTGGTTAATCGTGGCCTTGTCGAAATACCCCTCCCTTCTAGATACTCCTAGCAATCAAGGGACAACACATGGGGTATTCGATGCTTCTCAGTATTGCTATCCAAATCCTTCGGCATATTGGGACACTAAAACTAGTACAAAGCGCCTGTCGTTATTTCTGGAGTCCCATTCGATTTCTTCTGTAGATATTTCGTTCCAGAGGCACCACTTTTTTAAAATTAATGGCAAATTGAGGTCGGTAATACTGGTGGGTAGGGATAAACGGAACGGGATGTGGCGCCAGATGAGCTCTGTGTACTTCCCAGCCTTTTTGTATCTTGGAGATGGTGCAGCTTTGAGCACTCTCGGTACAGTTCTGTTATGCGTATTGACAAAAAGTACTCTAGTGTATATGTAGTCGAGTTTGAAGCAATGTTAACTTTTTGCTTTCTGTTGTTGAATGAGGATAAACGTTTCGGACCACAAAGAAACTGCAATTTCCGTCAAAGAAGGATAACTTGTGGCGTTTTCGCATCAAGCCAATCGCTCTGCAAAGTCACACGGAATAAGATGTATTTCGCAGAAGGCTGAGGACTCCACTCCGGGAGGCATTTAAAAACAATGTGTCATATTCTTCCTGAGCTTAAGTTCGATGTACTGAGTGATCGTTCAATTTTCGGGACTTTAGGCGATGATCGAAAGTGTGGTTAGGTTGAATGAGAATCAGAAATACAGCTGTCATCACGGAGAAACCGCATGTGACCCAAATAACTCGATTTCAACGGCTTAAAACAATCGACACAACGAACCAATCAACGGCACCATACGAAGCAAAATACCATACACGTCTGAAAGTCAGAGTAATGCAAAAATTGTTGTCAAACCCAACATAAATGACGTGCCATGAGAAGTGTCATTTCAAACTATTCTCCGCTACTTCTGGTGTTGATTGAGGTGAAGAAATGTTGGGTGTTTGTATGCCCATGGTATTTTGGAGATTTTGTGTGTATGGTCGTTTTTTTGACAGAAAAACCTAGTCCGTGGATAAGACAGCTATGATACGAAAACCAAATGTGGTTGTGATTTCGTCTCGGAGCGGGCAATTGAAGATCGCGCTACCTCCGCACTGCACCAATCGCACCTATGACCCAGTTGGGGGACATTGTGGCCAGACCCTGATTGGGTAGTTACAAGTGACGTAGTAACAACATTTCTCTATTTTTAACCCGAAAAATTGATCACTCCTATTGGTTATGACCTTGGAAAATCTGACGGATGAAAGATAGTTTGGTGGATGTAAAAGAGTGTCATTTTGTAATGTGGAATGGAAAAAAGCGTTCAGCTGTAGCACCCTTCCGGTGCCTAACTGCCATGCAACCCAAAGGAAGCACGAGGGCTGAGATACTGCCAGGTTGCCCAAGCCTAGACAGGGGAAGTCGAGAGGCGGAGGTCGGATTCGAACCACGGACCTTCCGGTCAGTAAATTCGCGCTCTAACCACTTGGGCCATCTCGCCCCATCGCACCACGAATCTGCTCCAACGGTTCGTTTCAGGTAAAAGTTGCCACAGTGACATGGTGGTCGGACCTTACTGCAACAATGATTCTGCGGGCTACGCTCGCCGGAACTTCGGTCCACATGATCCAACCAAATCGTGAGGGTCCGAGGGTACCAGTAAATCCTTGTTCCGCAAGAAATCGATCAGGAGATAGAGTCAAGATGTCCTCTGCGTTAGAATTGCGTGCTTCGTCTGAACGATCAACAGAAATGCCTTTCAAGAGACAGCTAGAATAAGCCGACAGTAGGAAAGGCACACTCCAACATACATATGACTGTGACTACCGGAGCATTATCCAATACGGTTGAAATACAGTTAAGATCTACCAAGAGATCGATGCGGCCTCAAACAATTGCTGTAGGCAATATCGCTATAAGCGAGATGCGGGGTCTCACACATCGGGCCCTCGGGGTAGGTCATTCATCTGCTACCTCGCAAAGCGGGGCCCCGGGACAAAAACCTAAATTCTCCCACTTCTTTGTGAGTCAGACTTTTTGGCAAAGGACTCAGGGTGAGGTGCGTCAAACAAACCTCTTTCATTAGCCTGGGCAACCGGGAGTTAAACCCACCCTTGACGTACTTCGTTTAACGATCTTCATACGCACTCCATTGCTACCCCTTAACTGGCACACTGCTGTCCATTCAGCTGTCAGTAGCCCAATGATTGTTCCGTGTCCAAACTACCTCTCCGTAAAGTAACTTTATCACTCATTGCCACGACATAGTGAACCATATACGGACATGGCGGTAGGATAACTTTCGGAAAACTCTTAGGAACGCTGAACGACTTCCCGATTAACTTGGGTAAGCACGTGAAGGGCGTTCTGGATGCTCGCCTAAGTAGACTACAGTTATAAGCACTATCAGCAGGAGTTAATTTTCAAAGTTCCCCCCATAAACATTGATCGTAGTGCCACAGAAGTGGAATCCTTACACTTAGTTGACTGAAACAGAGATATTCAGGTGTGGTTCCCTAACAACGAAAGCCATTTCGCGCTAAAATTTATTGATCTTAGTTACAATGTGTGCTTCTGTGCGCGCTCGGTCAGTATAATTTCACCCAATGTGTCTAAATGGGTTAAAAAACTCGACGGTTCTGACATTGGTTGACCGAAGTATTCGTGAGTTGCAGATTCTCCTGACACATGGTTTCATTTCTCACACTAAGTTCACTATGCTCCAATCAGTCGTTTTGTATATCTCACTTTCCTAGGCTCCCAAAGGCCCAGAAACCCAATGCATCCAACCGTCCAATTTACGAATGGTTTACCGTACAACTAGCAAGGACAGTTCTTACTGGAACTTGGGAGTTCCGGTCCAAATTTGGCTCGCATAGTGTTAAAAGGACCGCGCGCCATGTGGTCTACAATATGGGCTTTTTAAAGTGCAATAAGATGTAATCTGACATTTCGATTGCCGTGGGCAACCTTTTTTTAACAGGTAACTGGGAGGATTCGAAATCTAGTATCCGACAATTTCATGGCTGCAAATATCTGATCTCCCACTTTTCAGTGAGCGAAGCCGTTTTAATGCACTCTTGTTTCACGATTACAAGCTGACTGACGAACCCTTTGGTGCCTGGCTGCCATGCAACCCGGAAGCACGAAAACTGATTTTCTGCTTACTAATAAGTATACCAATAAACTGCATCGAATAAAACGTGTTCATCCACCACCAACTGCATTGAAACATTTCGCGAAGAGGGGGACGGTCGAGGCGTACGTCACTGAACAGTGCGCTAGGTAAGAATAACTTATATCCCAGGGTTCTAAAGTCATCAGCAGAAATACTGACCGTACTTCTAGCCTGTCTCTTTAAGCGCAACATTTCGGAAAGTGTTATTCCTTGTGTATGGAAACACTGAGCAATCTCCGTCGCCGGTTTTTGTCCAGAGAACAGTAAGAAATAAATAATAATCGTTCAGCTGTAGCACTTTTTGGTGCCTAGCCGCCACGCAACCCGAATGAGGCACGGAGGCTGAGATACCGCCAGGTTGCCCAAGACTAGACAAAGGAAGTCGATAGGTCGGGTTCGAGCCACGAACCTTCCGGTCAGTAAATTCGCGTTCTAACCACTTGAACCATCCGGTGAACATTAGTACAACTCCTATGTCGATTCTTGGCATCCTATTCCGCTCACTATGGTAGTCTGAGACAGCCCCTGATGGGAAAAATGGAAATTATCATAAGCGTATTTACAAGTTTATCACCGAATGTTCCACAAGAAACTGCTATAGTCTTCGTGAAGGGGGCGAGGGGGGCAAGCTATGAACGTTTGGTTCTGTGACCAATCAGGTGATGTCCTTGTTTCGTCCGTAGTCCGCACGTGATACATCCGTCCAAAAGACTTGATTTGCGGTTATTTAGACCCTAGCCACAGTACTCAAGTTGTGCAATAGAGCAAACCTAACTAGCTACCGAAGTGTGACCCACCTGCTAGTGATGCCCGAAGTCAAAAAGACAGAATCACGGATAACCTGGAACAACACGCGAAGCAACCGAAACCACAGACCTTCTAGTCAATAGCTCGTTCTCGAACATTGAGGTTCTCGCTGATAGTTGATCTGTTCGCTGAGCTTGGTAACTGAACTGCAGACGTTTCATCACCATTCCGGTAAATATCATTAGTGCGCTGTTGGGTGGGTGACCAGGCACATGCCGCTAGACTTATATAACGTTCATTTCTGGTCCAAACAATCTGGGATAACTTGAGAAGTATCAGCTGTCTCTTAGTGTGCAAAGGGCTCGATCGGACGAGTTTTAGAGACCAACACAGTGAAAGAACTACTAACGGTATAATCAGTTGGTAAGTTAATCGACGACTGGAGTCAGTCGGATCACAGCCCGGGACCGATAAAAAGGGCAAGTTGGCATGAAATCGCTGGGGACTGTATTGTGAGGAATGAAGTAGACGTGAACACACTTACCGGGAAAAGGCCATCGACCATCACTGGGTCAGGCAGCATAGTTAGTTCACCGAGGACGGTATGAAAACGGAACTGACGAATGAATTGCTGTTGGGTGGGAAACGGGAAATCAAAAAGATCTTACGGTAAAACTTGTACACAGGTAAACAGTTCACTTACCCCTATGGTTGTCTAGTGGCAAAAAATAAGAATATACCTACCGCATTCGATGTTACTGCTAAGGCAGATTAAAATACATTCAACGAAGTTCTGACAGAATGCAGCACCGTTTGCCTCAAGATCGGCGTGTTAGGCTGCAGATATGGTTATTAGACACATGTATTCAAACGCTATCGGCATCTGTAGTTAGATGCCATCGTTTACGAGGACAGAGGGTTGTGGAGCAGCAAAAGTCGGTGGGGTGCGTGCGTCACTCCGCACTGAAGTTCTAGGCCCCAATGCATTTAGACTAATAAACAACAACCAGTAACGATTATTTTTAGAGCCACTTAAGACAAAGTGATCAAGCTTTGCACGTGTTTCCATAGTCACGTGGTGGGGTTTTAAAGTGGTTGTTAGCCAGGTGACTATTGCGTGTGTACAATAAGATGAATGGGGATGAATCTATTGAGTGAATGGATTGAGATTAATGATTTGATGCTGGGTGTTTGAACAGATTTGAGTTATCCGTTAGATAGAATTTACCGTGGCTAAGCCGACTGCGTCCAAAAATGGACTGTCGAGAAGTTGTCAGATCTTCACACTCTATTGGGGCGATATTGTTTGAACTTCTAGTCTGATTGTCAAACGTACTACTACGCCGTCACTGTATCATAGAATTATGGAGCTCGAGGCGGTTCAGTGATCAAGACGCCAACTTAATGACCACAAGGGGCGTGGTTCGAACCCAGCTTCAGCATCCCGATTGCTTTTGTCTAGGTTTGAGTAACCTGACGATATCTAAGTGGTTTGTAAGTCGTTCAGCTGTAGCACCCTTTCGCTGCCTAGCTGCCATGCTACCCGAAGGAAGCACGAGGTTGCCCAAGCCTAGACAGAAGTCGAGGGGCAGAGGTCGGGTTCGAACCACGGACCTTCCAGTCAGTAAATTCGAGCTCTAATCACTTGATCCATGTGATCGCTAAACCCTTTTGTCAATGCCTCAAGCTAACCGGGATGGGCTCACTAGTACTTTGGACAACGTGTGAATTGACAGAAGAGGTGAAAGAGATTATGAAGAGTTAGGGTGTTGGTTGTGCGGTCCGTTTTCCAGAATGGGGTCCCAGTGAATACCCTGCGTTGGGCTGGAGACCTTTCATAAAAATCGATGCTATTGGTGTCAGTTTCCTTCCAGATTGTCTGATGGAGGTGTGGATACTTGAGAATGCTTGCGGCAGACTAGTATCAAGTCACCCTTCACCCAGTTTCTCATTTTTTCACATAAGCCCTGTATGTAATTTAATAAACTTTGTGCTTATATGGCAGTGAGGAATCGGCTTTCACCCTGATATTGCTGCCTCTGAAGATGACCACCTGGGCTTGAGATCTTGAAAATCTGTGCGACCGACTCCAGGGTGGGGTCAGCTAACCTGTCGGGTGGTTTGAAAACGGAACAGGACCAATGTTACTCATGACAGTCAACAACGATGTTTAGCTGCAATACAATCGGATGGGAGTGTCTCACAGAAGCAATCGGAGTGGGAGATCATTAAAAAAAGCTTTAGCCTTCAAACAACAAAAACAAGTGAGAGTGGTGTCAGGACTGGTTGACATAATTAAGACAGCCTAATTGAGGCTTTACACGACCATCAACATTCCGCTTTACGCACCACACAATAAAAGGCAAAACTTAAGCTGGGTGTGCACCACGTGAGACGTTCGCAATTAAGGCATGGGGAAAGCTCAGTCACCGCTGCGCATTCCAATTTAGCATTGTCTTGTCTGTCAACTTTTCGGCACCTGGGATTGTGATTGTCAAGAAACTGCACACACGCGCTCACCATTATCATCACCGTTTGTCTACCACTAATCTCCCTCCCCCTCTTCGTAGTCATCATCGGTAGAGCTGCACACTAGAGGCGACAGTTTGGACCATGAAACAGCTAATGACAGAAGTGTCGAGTGTAGAAATTCGCGAGGGGGGGGGAGTTACGTACTGAAAGAAGTGACTCGGGTGCATTAACGTCATCGAGCGCCACGTCAGTCAGCGTCTTAGTGTATCTATTATCAGGTTCTATGTAGATGGAGACTGAAGCCGCCAACGTGAAAAGGGTCGTCAGAAGGAGAAGCCTGTCTGCAGGCGATCGAAGGATATGAACACATCAGGATAATCCATAAGGAATACTCAGATTGTCATACATTTTGACGTACTCCAGCACTGCTGATCTGATTTTTCCACAGACTAAAATAAAGCTTTGGAGATATCTGTGGTCAAACGGTGAATGTTATTTGAGGTCTAACCACAGTAGAGAGGTTCCTGACCCGCATAGGATGGTGCGCAGGATAGTGTTGTGTACTCCACGAATGATAAATAAGCTTAGGTCGGATCGACAGCAGAAATCTCGTCCGAAAAAAGGCCAACTTTGCTTTCTTCATCCGGAGGCCGAGTCATATCCTTAAACCGCTTGCCGGGATTTGTGAGTCCACTAACAAAACAAATTGATCAAATACATCAACTAGCGTATGTGAATGCACACGGTTTGTGTTTTCAAACAGCTATCTTATTGTGTCGGTGCGCGCCAAATCGAGCAGCCGAGGTAGTTAAACTATGGTTGATTTTCCGGATGAGATGTCGACCTGTGATACCGATGTTCGATCACCGTCTCTCAAGTTTCGCCCATATTAGCCCAGTGGTCTGGCCACTCCGGTATTATCGAACGTATTTATTCCCAAGTAAGATGATTACAATTTCAACCTTTGTCGCTGCTTCTGGCTATCGCTCTGACATGCTAGGTGAGGTGATACGTTGACAAGGATTTTCCAGTGTAGACTTGACATTGTTGACACCCCTCAGAGAGACATCCTAGAACCAGGAGACTGTTTGCTCCGCTCACCATAAAAAAACAACGAGCGAACTGTGTTTAAACAAGCGGCTCCATCAAAAGGGATGATAAAACGATCGATGTGTGCTTACACACAATCGTATCGTAGAAACCTTGACGATGTTTAGAACGTTTCCATCAGACGCAATTCGGAAAAGTGCATGCCATCTCGACAGAACACCAGTAGTAAATATGTCTAGAACCCGACTGTTGATAAGGTAGTCCCTGATCTGTTCGTCAAACTTGACAACTGGCTTGCAAGCGCATCGAGGAGACATGTGGGTATTTAAAATCTGCTCTAGAGTGGTGGTTGTGTACTATGCCGGTATTTTTTCACATGTAAATGGTTCGTCGAAAAAAGGGGGGTTGGGTGAAGTTTTCCGAGACAATAGAACTTGCCATATAAACTTTGGGAAGACAAGAGAGGAAACGTGTTCGTGTTTTGAAGATGTTTGACAACTGAGCAACGGTTTATCGACCTAAACTTGCGTTGAACGTGGGTGGACTACCGATGTCATTAGAAGCAGAACTTCGGATGATAAAAACCGTTCTGAATAAATTACACCACTTTTGGGTCAAGTTGGAGGTCAGATGGCTTAGTGGGTACTGACCAGAAGGTCTGTGTTTCGAATCCGACCTATGCCTGTCGACATCCCTTGTCCGGGTTTGGCCAACCTGGTAGTATCCCGGTCCTCGTGCTTCCTTCTGGTGACATAGCAGTTAGGCACCGAACGGGCGCTACAGCTGAATGTTTTTTAAGGTCATCTGCAATAACATTACTAATGTAGGTATGATATAGAAATACTTGCACAGTAGTGTCGAGGGATTCCACACTGAAGAATGTATCACAGAATCGTATGCCCATTGACATAAGTGACGGTTCATGCGTGCGCCACCTTACTGACTGGAAGGCTCGTGGTTCGAACCTGTTACGAAAAACGTCCAAACTGATCTAAGGTGAAGGGGGAGGGTACTCTTGGGAGGGAGTTCTAATGATAATGTACGCACCTCANGCTCCTGTCTGGGTTTGGGCTACCTGGCAGTATCTTAGCTTTCGTGCTTCCTTCGGGTGGTATCATACCTACATACCAGAAGGCTGCTACAGCTGCACGAATGTCCTTTTGATCTTTTTACCGTGAGTTCATACATTGTTGCACCGAATAGATGGGTAACATAAGACAGACAACAGTCTCAAGTGGTTTCCATAAGATTAAAGAGCAAAAGCTACATAAAGGTAACTAATCACAAGGTTGCTGGAAACTCTTCGACAGCCTACGACCGGTTTCGCCCTTCTTGGGGCTCATCAGATAGGCATAGTCCCCGAGTTTCCGTCAACCTTACGTTCTACATTTTTTATCTTAAAAAAAACAATATCGATTTAAGCTATTTTGAAATCTTGTAGAAAAGTTGCTAAACTCGTTGAAAAATACACCAGAAAACCAGGCTTTCTTATCGTGGTGCGATAGCTTGCGCCTGAATATTCTGGAATTTACCACCATAGGGGAAGAGATTATGCCTTTCTGGTTTTTGAATTAGTCAGATTACGGCGAAAAAATACCTTGGGGCGAATAATGCGGTAAAGTCTGCTACAAACCTAGTGCGAACGGGTATTCTTTGGGTCTCGGTGCAATCCGATCCAGTAGAAGTATGCGGTCATTGTATGCCGTATTACAGGAGGAAGAAGTGGGAGTACCCGATTCAGCAGATGGCAACGACAGCATGCAATCACTCTAACAATAACAAAGTACAGGACAGTGTAGCCTGTTATCGGATATGGGGAACCCGGTCAGAGGTCTTTTGTGGAGCTTCGCTCATTCACACGAGGTGGAAGAAAGGGTTTCAAATAGGTTGGAAAATGTGCACAAATATGCACACCCACGTTAGGCGTAGAATCCAGTCTGGTTTTCCATGATCTGTCTAACGCGATGTTCGAGTAATCTGCGTAGAACACGACCATACTCGACCGCAAAAGCTGTTGTTAATGTTTCAGAGAACGTGGACGGCATTACAGGCCTGAATCTGAATGATTTCACTAAGGTGGTGTTCAGTCCATTCTCTTCTTTCCAGAGAACTCGCTCTGCTTAGCACCAGCCGAGTGCCTCCCCTCCTGTACAGTTAAAATCAGAATTCTGGTTCTTACTGATGCCAACGTTTCCTCGAAAGCAACGCCTGAACAGATGTGTAAAGTGAGCAGCGGATCAACCGTTATCCTAAAACCACTAGGGCGATAATTGTTATTTCACTTTTAGCTTCAATTCATGTCCTGCAATCGGTTTGGATGCGTACGGTGACAATTAACCACACTGTCGGTTGTGGGAGAATAAAGTATTCAGTCCGCTTTGTTATACTCTAGTGGCCCTAAAGTGGAGCGACGGCGTGAAAACGTCTGATAACCCGATTCGTTGAGAGTCACCGTGTCAGTTCTGTCAGATAGTGCGACTCACAGAAGCGTTCAATTATTGGAAAGCCAAGGTGGAGAGCTAGGATTAAAGAAACTGTGATTTACGTGTTGATCAGAGCTGGCGATTGCATTTAACTCCATGTACGCCACACTGGAAACTGGTCACTGCTGCAAGCGCAATTTTTAACCTGTGAATAATAGGATTGTATTTTAAGTGTGAAAAATAGGAACTTTTTGGAGTAACCAAATATAACGAGTATGTTCAGAACTGATCATCTAATCGTTTTTGTCTAGATTAACCGAGATGCTTCTTTCACTTAACAGCAAAAAATTCAATGGGGAACTCGAAAATGACCGTGGCCTGCAACGTCTAACAGAAAGCATGATTAGAACTTTGGGATTTTATAACAGAGGTACGGCCGGCACCAACTCAGTTCACTACATCCCAAATACCTCAACTACCCTTTGACGTAATCGTCATACAAATAGGTCAACTCCCCTGTTGACGATCGGACTGCTCTCCTCATGCATTCCTGGCATAGCTGAATTCCAGAAAGTGTAGGCCGGAGAGTCATGAAAGCACCGAAGCCCGACCAGTACTATAAGATGAAACCCATGGACCAGACTAGACTGTATCAGAATCAGACAGCAAACTGATGAAGAACTTCACAAAGAAACAGCGCCAGGAGTTCAAACCATCAAGCGAGGTAAGATTAACAGAACGTCCCAGGCGATCAGTGCGTTCAGTTGTAGCACCCTTCCGGTGCCTAGCTGCCATGCCACCCAAAGGAAGCACGAGGGCTGTGATACTGCCAGGTTGCCCAAGCCTAGAAAGGGGAAGTCGAGTGGCGGAGGTCGGATTCGAACCACGGACTTTCCGATCAGTAGATTCGCACTCTAACCACTTGGGCCATCTCGCCCAACCACGTCAATCGTTGACCAAGAAATGGATCGTCCCCAAAGGTGGCTGTTCTCGAACCGACGAACTGCTACGCATTGGCCTCACCGATTGAAAAAGGCTAATCGGACCATTCGTTTGTGTACAGACTTCTCCACCGATCTCAATACTGCATCGAAGACCCATCCTCTTCCGCTCGACTTGGTGGCATAGTCGAATGGGAAACCAACTCGCGAAGGTTGGTTTGGTCGACGTTTGCCTCCAGATTGACATCAAATAAGAGTCACAATGATTATTGGCCATGATTACGCCCAGCGGTTGGTTTCAGTACACACAACTGATTTTTGAAGTCAAGACAGCACCAACTATATTCCAACAAATTACATATACAATGCCGACAATTTCCCCCGGCGTTGTCGCTTGTTTAGACCATCTCATCATCACGACTTCCAACCCCGACGAATCCTGACAGAGTCTTGTTTGAATGCATTCAAGCATATGGCTTCAGAATGCACCTAAAAATGCACCTTATTGATGGCGTCTATAAAGTATTTCGGGTTCATCATGGACGAACATGCGGACAATCACATTCGAAGAAATTCCGTGCCAATAGACATACCAACCGAACGTTGCTACGGTCCGATAAAGGAAGAAGCTTTGAGGATCAAAAAGAATCTTAAAGTGCTCTATGGCCATCAGTCCACATTGCTGATCGATCATGAGCCGCCCTTGTGATTGCCGCGAACAGGGGGATTCCGGCGTAAATCGCTAACTACGGCCAGCAATGGGCTGCTCTGCCTCTGGGATACAAATGCAAGATCAAGTACCAGCACACCGCCAGCCTTGAGCAAGCCCACGCGTCGTCGCGTCTTACTGATTCAAGCAGGTCAGGACTTGATGGCTTGATGGCCATCTGGCATTATTTATCCAGCCCATGGGGAACGATTCCCATTAACTGTCGGACGTTTGCCACAGGAAACCTATCCGTTTGCTCAGTTTTCTAGAGAGTAACAAACAACAATTAAATAATTACAAACAAGACCTTGTGAAAGTTTGACTGAACGAAAGGCAGCTTTTCCATTTGTTTCTCGCCAATTAGTGATTATGGCGTGCGTCGGATCTAGCATGCACATAACTTGTTCGTTACGTACTTTTGGACATCGGTGGCACACGCCGTGAGTCACCTTTATACCATTACGAAATCAGTGAGCGATACTCATAGCAAAGTTTTACAAGCCACATATAAGTACACCTTGGACGACTTCCTCAAACCGGTTCAATGCATCCTGTGGTAAGAGGCCTGCCGTCGGGTTCTAAACTCCTCACAAGAACGGAGGAATCTAACGTCATAAGCAGCTTCTACGGCAATCGGTACATTTTCCCCAAATTCCCAAAGTATAACTAAGTTGCAAGAAGTTTCATTCAGCTCAATGAGACTCGCCTCCTAAAGAGTAAATTATGCATTACATTGAGCGAACCTTAGAAACGGAGTGGGATTATGAGGTTCCGGATCATCCACGGCTGGAGACGTGTACACGAGGTTGCCAGGAAAATTGGAATACCCTTAAGGCACTTATATTCCACGTATTGCTTGAATATCAACCACTCCAAGTCTAACCGGTATCTGCGGGAATAATCTACGGTAGGGTCCATGGGGTGACCTCTAATGATATCATTCAGTAGGTCACAAGAATCCACAAAGGGCTTGGCTTCGGGTCCAAATGTCACCAAATCCCAGACAAACTATGCATTTGGGTGGAAAGTCTTCAACAGTGGGAAAAATCACTTTTTCCAACGAGCAGAAGCCTATCCCGTGCTTCCCTTGCTTTTGAGTCCGAAAATCCAAGTCGTTTTTCTAATAGAGCTACGATTATAAAATTAGTAAGCTATAGTGTACATCTTTCCGCGTGTAGTATTCACACCTACACTATAGCATGTGTCCTTTCACTTGCTAAGGCCATACAGTACTGTCACAAATGTAATTGAAAAGATTGTGGTAATGTGGTAAACTTCGATGGCCACGTTGGACTCAAACTGATGAGTATCACTTAACAGAAGAAAAACGACTGACGGAAATGGAGATTACGCGGTGGCGTATGTACGCGGCTCTTTGTAGTGTCGCATTAAATCAGCGCTTCTTTGAATCTCCTGGCCTGCATGCACGCCCCAACAACCTTGGGCGCATATAATGTCGCTGCGTCTTCAAAATGAGGACTGATCGCCTCATCAGTCCCCGGCAATGTTCGATTCGCTTTCCGGTTAACACGACATTGAAACCGTTCAACAGTCTGATAAAGCAACAAAAATATCCAGTCCAGCAGACATGAATTAGGTTAACTGTTCATCAGTAGTTTAGGGCTTACATGATAGGTGGAACGAAGCAGGAGATAACCGGTGATTGTCCCAGCAACGTGAGATCCGCCCCATTCCACCGAATAACTCAAATTCGAATTGGACCGGATGTGGTCGGTCAACGAGAGAGCGAAACAAACAGACAATAATAATAATAATAATAATAATAATAATAATAATAATGTTTATTCCTAACTTGCGGGTAGCATAGCGACTGGGGAACTCACAAAGCAACTGGAGCAGGTTTGGCCCACCAACGAAAGACGACAGGTAGGCACACAGAGAGAGTTAGATGAGCTTCGGGACAATTTCAACAGCTGGCCTTCCGTAGTGACCGTTGAAAGTAGGAAAGATTCAATTGTGATCTGACGTGAACAAAACAGGGTGTGATTTCGTGATAACGTCGAACAACCGTGCATGAAAAAAAACTAACCGTAGAATGAATTACACGTAATGGTTTAAAATGAGGCACCACTAATAAAAAATTACCGCGAAACATTGTGCAGAGGCGACCAGCTCTGCACACACTGCCACTCCGATGTGGTTCTGCATATTCCTGTGACGGTTTTAACGGTGCTGAAGCGGGACTTCACTTATTCTTCATTGACAGGCGGAAGACACATGGGATAAGATCCATCTGTGCATATTACGTCACATATCACTGAACTGCGGACCTTGTGACGTACGAACTTAACTGAATGTACTAGACCATGGGAATGCCTTCGAATCCCGGACATCAACATTTCAAGTAGCTGACACATCTTTATGATGTATAAAGATTCTCAAGTTGGACGTAGAATTTATGGGACTGATATATAATCTTTTCCGGGCATACACTATGCTTCTCCGAGGCTTGACGATAAAAACGACCTTCAAGTTCCTGTTGTGTACTTTTAAACATGAGGATTCAAGACCAAGTGGACCGGATTGAAGTATTGCATCCCACGTAAAATCTTTTCATAAGCTGGATCGTATATTAATCTTTGCTGCGGCAGAAATCCCCGAGGTTGGAATCGAATTCGATAGTTAACGGTATGGTTAAAATTGGATCAGCCAGTGAGCCACGTGGACTTTTGCCGCAGTGTCTGCAAATCGAACCTACCGTTCTAGAAGAGGTCACGGCATCCTTAGATATTCTCTCGATGCATTTTCACCGTCAGCTACTAAAACAACCTACTAATGGAAGAATTCAGACGGTTAGCGCTTCTCCTAGCTATTATGATCTCTGGAATGGGCTGTTGATTTTTCAGGCGAGTGTTTAGATGAAACCTATTTAGCTTAGTATCTACCATTTCCTGAATAGCAGAGCTCTCACAAAACATGCACGCCGATCATGTGTGCACCAAAATATAGTTTGCGCGGGGACTGAACGTTGCTTCTAACATCCCGTCCAATCCCGGTCCCGGTTTTTGATAACAATAATGAAGCAGGGCTTCTGATTAGTCAAAACTGCTAGAACACCAGCGCGTGACCCCGCCTGGCGTATTTGCGTATGGTAAAGTGCAAGTCTGCACGAGCCACGGAAGACAAAAACCCTTGGGGAAACTGATGTCACATTGGATACAAACGTCTAGAACTAAGAAAAGGCGTCCTTATGTATTTAACAGACAGATCCTCATGTATAACCGTCTGAAACTTGCTTTCGGCCGCTGCTGCCACCCCATTGGCTATATTCATCTGCTCATGTATGACCGTCTCGGCTGCCCCCTTTGACTGGTTATCGATCACTGATGCAGCCAGCCAACCGTCATCGCCAACTTCACAGTGTGGTGGATGGGCTGCAAACGGACTTGCTGAACTCGTATCAACTACACAGTTTCAAACCATTGAGAGGCGGTTACACCGTAAACCTGGGTGAGACGAGTTGGATACGGTGACGCCCGCCACCTTTAGTTACCTCGTGAACGATTGCCACAAAGCACCGGATTAATAAAGGGGAGAAACCGATCACAGAAGCAAGAGGAGACGTCACAAAGGCGTAGACCGAAATGAGAAACCCATTCAACAATTATGGTTCCAGATGTCCACATTGCGAAACGTACAGAACGTAGAGAATCTCGTCGGAAGAACGTTACGTAGGCTAAAGGTGAACCCAGTGACCGAACCATTTCCACGACTACACAGGACATTATGGGCGAAGAATACCCGCATGGAAACAATCACACAAAACTGAAGGCTATCCTACGTAGAAGTCGCTCCACAAGAAGTGGACAGCATTAAAGACACTGAATTTCATAAATGCATACATGCCCTTTTAGTTTTATGACATGAAAACGCTCACGTCAAAAGGGTTCCCGTTGTGAAGCACGATAGTTGTGGTGCGTCGACGTCCCAAGGTCACATGACCGAAATCGAAAACTTCCGACAGCAGGCGTGCAGTCGGAATGCGAATCTGATTGAGAAGAGGAAGGGAAGAAACACCGGTACGTGAAATCGATCGCGTTAGACAAATCAAAAAGTTTTGGTTTTCATCCAAAAATCAGAGAATAAAGATTTTCTGGCGAGTGAGTTTTCCATAAAAAGCGACTATTTCCTTGGAGAGGAGTGGAATTCGGTCCATAGGATACTGAGAGCATTCTCACGTGCAAGCAGTGACGCAAATCGGATATGGAATGCACTGTTCCCGCTTATCAAACAAGTATTCCCTTTCCATAAAACTATTTCCTTGGAGAGGAGTGGAATTCGGTCCATAGGATACTGAGAGCATTCTCACGTGCAAGCAGTGACGCAAATCGGATCGGATATGCACTGTTCCCGCTTATCAAACAAGTATTCCCCTAGTG